GATAGATAGATAGATAGATAGATAGATAGATAGATAGATAGATAGATAGATAGATAGATAGATGATAGATGATAGATGATAGATGATAGATAGATAGATAGACAGACAGACAGAGACAGACAGACGACAGACAGACACGATGATGATGGATGGATGAATGAATGAATGAATGATAGATGTGTGTGTAAGAGAGAGATAATAGCTACATGATAGTGATAGATAGATAGATAGATAGATAGATAGATAGATAGATAGATAGATAGATCTATCTATCTACACAAATACACACACACATACAATACATACACACATAAATGTTAGTGAACATTTTGTTAATTGAAAAAAATGCTAACGTGGTTAAGAAAATGAAATGGGTGTTAATTGATTTGCTTATCCTTAGGCTTATCCTCAGGCAATATCAAAGTTAATCCTTCTCCTAAATTATAAGAAGCACACTCTTCCACAGTATTTGCACTGACAATTTTCATTTTCTAAAGCTTTTTGCTACTCTTAAGAGATTGTCAGCATTGTGATGAATGTGCAGGATTAATATTTGGATTACTTTACAGAACCACAGAATTTCTTGTTTAGGGTTGCATCTCAGGATTATTATTATTTAAATAGGAGAATTGAGGAGAAAGGAATATAAACTGCAGAAGTAAAATTCTGCCAAGAATCATTTTTCTCTATCTGCAACAACTGAACTAAATACAAAGGCTAATTCCTGAGGATGACTTTGGCTATACCTGGTACATTTCCTCCAGTAGTGTGATGAATTTTATTACTTTCTCCATTTCACTTTCCGTTTTAAGCCCTCCTAGAAGGAGGCGTGATGGCTAAGTGGTTACATTGTAATGGGGTGAGCTCCTGTTCCTTCCCCAGCTCTTGGCCCACCTAGCAGTTTGAAAGCATGCACTTGCAAGTAGATCAATAGGTACCACTGGTGAGAAAGTAATAATGTTCCATGCACCTTTGGCGAATAGCCATGCTGGCCACATGACCATGGAAAATGTCTTCAGACAGTACTGGCTCCCTTGGCCAAGAAACACAGATGAGACACAGCTGGACAGAGAAACCTTTATCCTTAGATCCCACTGATTTCTTCTCCTTGTAAGCTGGCAAACACATCGGTTTTATGTTGGTATCATATATCCCTGCTCCTACGTTTGGGAGCAGTGATTTTGTGAAATGGATTATTTGTTGTATTTCAACAGAAAATCCTCACTGCTGTCTTTAAAATGCAGCATTCTTTAGAGCAGCGAATGCTGGCTGGGGAATTCTGGGACTTGAAGTCCAGACATCTTCAAGTTGCCAAGGTTGAGAAACACTGCTTTAGAGGAGAGGGAAGAGAATTAAACCAGATTTTTAAATCTACCCCCAGTCTCTCACTCTTTCTCTTTCTTTTTAACTTCCTTTAGGTTGCATTACTTGGGCTTTTTCTGTTAGCTTTCTGTTGCTTTTCATTTATATTTTTGTGGCTGTGTTTTGTGGCTGTGTTTGTGGCTTGCAAACCCAAATTAGCGCATGCACAACCAACATGTTATGGAAAATAGCAATAATGTTATGAGGCAAAATGTTGATCTTTTGACTTTTTTTAAGGAATCAAACCTCAAGACGCAGACCAGTTGGCCCAATAGTGACAAGCATGTGGATCCAGAAGATGCAATTGAGGCCTACCATGGAATGTGTCAAACTAATCGGTAAGCTGTCTTGATCTATCCATTATGAAAGGCCCAAAAAATTAGAATTGGGGCCTCCTTAAACTCATTAAATTAATTGGAAGGAGGCTCACCAGAGCAGATAATTAACAATGAGAGTCCTGTTAAAGAAACATACATTACTTCCTCTTATAAAAACATCACCTCTACTCTGGGTTAAATCAGAGGTGGGTTTCTACCAGTTCGCACAGTTCGGGCGAACCAGTAGTGATAATTTGGTCTGGGTCACAAAACCAGCAGGGACCCAGGCTGGCCACGCCCCTGAACTGATTCCCCGGTCTCTGCTGCCATTGTCGGCATGTTTATTAGTAGTTTTTCTTGTTCTTTGCACGTGCACAGAACAATTCACAGTGAATTGTGCATGCACACATGAAGCGAAGTGGTACCAACGCTGGTAGGAACCCACCTCTGGGCTAAATGTGGTGTGCCTGTTTGTGGACTTCTATTTCTTGGAGACGTATCTTTGTATCGTACTCTTCCTGTGTTGCGGGGAACTTCTGGAGAACGTTTTTGCAGTATCTGGGCAACCATCCTAAATAATAAGAGGAACTGAATTCTTTTTAAATCTCATTGTGGAGAAATGTTTACAAACTTAAGTGCACCAAAAGTGCTTTTCAAAAGACAAAGATTCTTGGTTTTCTTTTTTCCTTGAAGACAGTTTGTTTTTCATCCAAGAAGCTTTTTCAGTTATGAGAACTAGCCTGCTGGCTTAACCATTAGAGTCTGTCTCTCTGTCTCTGTCTCTGTCTCTGTCTCTGTCTCTGTCTCTCTCTCTCTCTCTCTCTCTCTCTCATATATTAATATTAGTGCCATTTAAAGTTAGCTGTTTATGAAGCAACGATTTTACTTAGAACCTTGAAAAGAACTAAACCTGGAACCTTTTCCTGAAAAACCTTTACTACTTTTAAGTGGAGAAGTTTCAGTTAGCATTCTTTTGATCGTTGTTTGGGATGTCAACCTTGTAAAATATGAAAACAAAGCAAATCTATAGCTACAGTTGTCCCTAGCCATTTCTTCTCTGTGAATGTTAGTCATTCCCTTGTATATATTGATTTTTCTTTTGTTGGCCTATAATTCTCCTTGCTCACACATTTTTATCCCTTTGCTACAGTTATTTTGGTCAACTCTGCAAACATTTCTTCGGCTGAGTTTTCCCTCACATTGACTTGCAACTCATTCACAGGTCCGTTCACTTCTGGATTCAATTGTTGTTGTTAGTTGCGAAGTCATGTCCGACTCATCGCAACCCCATGGACAACGTTCCTCTAGGCCTTCCTGTCCTCTACCATCCTCTGGAGTCCACTTAAGCTCACACCTACTGCTTCAGTGACTCCATCCATCCACCTCATTCTCTGTTGTCTCTTTCTTCTTTTGCCCTTAATCTTTCCCAGCATTAGGCTCTTCTCCAGGGAGTCCTTCCTTCTCATTGTTGATCAAAGGTGGCTGAATCTAAGCAATATGACAATTATGTCAGAATAATGGGTCTTTCCAAACTGGCCTTGTTCCCCCCATATATTCAGAACCATGATATTTCTTAAATGCTATCATACGGAAATGAAGATTGACTGAATTCCTGTTGCCCATCTGCTTCCAAGGACTCCCTCCTCTTCCCAATTTGTGGTCACATGAGGTCCTCATTTAACAACTCACACAGTCCTCAGGTTACAACACCAACAGGGACTGACATCATTAAGCAATGAAGTCACATAACATTGTGCATTATGTCCACAGTACTTCATGATAGGCATTCCGGTCCCAATTGCTATCATAATCCAAGGACTATCTCTAAAGAATCTTAGGGCTGGAAGGGACCCCAGAGGTCTTCTAGTCCAACCCACTGCTCAAGGAAGGTGCCCTATACCATCCTAGTCAAATGGTTGTCCAGTCTCTACTTGAAAGCTTCCAGTGATGAAGCTTCCAAAACTTCTGAAGGCAAGTTATTCCATTAATTGTTCTCACTGTCAGACAATTTCTCCTTACTTCTAGGTTGGCTCCCTTTTTAAAAGGTTCCCTCCCAATTGTCATTAGATCCTGATTTGTCCGTGTTGGTGGGAAGTGATGGAAACAAAAGTGTGGAGAATTCACCAATCTTTTTTTTTTTTAATTGTTTTTTAAAATTGTTTAAAATTGTTCAAAATTGCATACAGGAAATAGGGAGGCCATCACTGAGTGGCATTGCCCCTGAAGAGGATCTGTAGTGGAGCCAGCAAATCTTGTGCTATCATAGTTATTGGATACAACTCATTTGGGAGTTGGGAGAGCCATGGTGACGCAGTGGTTAGAATGCAGTACTGCAGGCTACTTCTGCTGGCTGCTGGCTGCCAGCAGTTCAACAGTTCAATTCCCACCAGCTCAAGGTTGACTCAGCCTTCCATCCTTCCAGGTTGGATAAAATGAGGACCCAGATTGTTGGGGACAATAGGCTGACTCTGTAAACCTCTTTAGAGCGGGCTGTAAAGCACTGTGAAGCGGTATATAGGTATAAGTGCTATTGCCATTAATGTTAATTTGGAATGGAACTGAACAGCTTGATGTTTAAGACAGAATAGATTTCAGTCCTTTCAAACAATTTTATTTCTTGCCTGTGGTCCCCTGCTAGCTTCCCGTCTCCTGAAGTCTAAAAAGATGTAAATGAACTGCTGTGTCAGGTCATCTCATAAAAGGCAAGGCAATTTCCATGTAAAAGAGAAGATTTAAGGGTCATGCCTCCAGCAAGACATTTTTCATTGATCAATGGAAATATTAACCATTTTTCCATTTATTTAATAGGGCCCAAGCTGTTACAGTTCCTTCGTGTTTGTAATTTGCGTAATTATTGAATTCAGGACTAATGGTACCCTTCCTAAGTCACTTTCTTCAGAGAACAGGAATTTTCGGAGAGGTTTTGCAAAGAATAGGAGAGTCAGATCTGCAATTCTGATTTTTTTTTCAACCCTGCGAAGCCTTATGCTTGATAGCCCAAATTGATCTTCAGTACCTCGTTCAGCAGTTGAGTACTTATGCTTAACAATCACTGCTTTGTAATGTTTAAAAGGTTGTTTCCTAGTTCCACCCCATTAGAGGAGAGATTCAAGTTATTTCTCCCAAGTTGTTAGCAGGAGCCTTTCTGTTCCAGGCCAGGGTACATGTGGCATTCATTTTATACAATTTATTCCCATCACTTTAAGCTTTTTATCTTCTTCTTCACAGTTTGTTCCTATGAATCCCTAATCCACAAAACAGGATGGGGGCTTTAGCTACGCCAGAGTAAAGCCAATACAAAAATGTTTATTTATTTTTTCTTGTTGTTAGTTGAGAAGTCGTGTCCGACCCATCGTGACTGGAGGTGGTATTCAGCAGGTTCTAACCAGGTTCTGGAGAACCCATAGTGGAAATTTTGAGTAGTTCGTAGAACCGGTAAATACCACCTCTGACTGGCCCTACCCCCATCTATTCTCTGCCTCCCGAGTCCCAGCTGATTGGGAGGGAATGGGGATTTTACAGTATCCTTCCCCTGCCACGCCCATCAAACCACGCCCACAGAACGGGTAGTAAAAAAAATGAATCCCATCACTAATGTGGACTTCCACTCCCAGAATTCCTCAGTCAGCCATGCTGGCTGGGGAGTTCTGGGAGTTGAAGTCTACCAGTCTTAAAGTTGCCAAATTTGAAGGCCTCCCCATACTCCAGACTAGATGTTAGAGAACTGCAATGTTGTAAATAGGAATATGGAAAGGTGCTTTGACCTGTGGGACCCTTGACATTGTACCTGCAACTCTTTAAAGCAGCTGGGACTGTGAAGCAGCTGCAGATACGTATATAGTTGCTTTAAAGAGATTCAGAGAAGTTTGTGCTCCTATGCCCTTCAGCTGGAATTCTGGGAGTTGAAGTTCACACCTCTTAAAATTGATAAGGTTGAGAAATAGTAATCCAGAAATGGGGTGGGAATGGAGATTTTACAGTATCCTGCCCCTGCCATGACCACCAAACCACGCCCACCAAGCTACGCCATGCCGACCAAGCCACACCCATAGAACCAGTAGTAAATATTTTTGAATGCCACCACTGATTGCAACCCCATGGACAATATTCCTCCAGGCTTTCCTGTCCTCTACCATCCTCTGGAGTCCATTTAAGCTCACGCCTACTCCTTCGGTGACTCCATCCAGCCACCTCATTCTCTGTCATCCCCTTCTTCTTTTGCGCTCAATTTATTTCTATCCCACTTTTATTACTTTTGCAAACAACTCAAGGCTGCAAACGTATCCAGCACATCTTCCCCGCTCTTATTTTCCCCACAACAACAACTCTTGTGAAAACGACTGGCCCAAAGTCACCCAGTCTGCTTTCAGGGTTAAGGCGGGAGTTGAACTGACGATCTCTTGCTTTCTAGCCTGGTGCCTTAACCACTAGACCAAAGTGGCAAAGCCTTTAGGTCCCCCATGCAGAGGGCTTGCTTTGAAATGATCCCCTGGATCAACAATTTGCAGCTAGGGGAAAGTTTGCGCTCCAAGTGAAGTGTGTGTGTGTTTAATGACTTTTGTAGTCAAGCCTTCAGGATTTATTGAAAAATCTGAAACTTTTTCAGGATAGTGTGGGAATTTCTCCCCCACCTTAGAATGAATTAAAGTCTCACATGTGAGGTCTGTAACCTGAGATCCTATTTTTCAATTCTAGAATAGAATAGGATAGGACAAGATAGGACAGAACAGGTTAGGACCTTTGTGGCTCCCGATGTTTTCTTTTCTTTGGGAAACGGGTCCAAATGGCTCTTTGAGTGTTTACGTTTGCCAACCCCTGACCTAGAGAGTCAATAGAAAGTAAGCAGAAGGCAAATAAACAGCAAACTTTTGATGTCGCCCATAAATACTTGATTGAATAATTGAGTAAAAAATAGCTTATCATAGCACTCGCTTTTTGAAAAGTTATCAAAGCTTATCAAATTGAATAGCTTATCGAAGCAGGACAAAATGACACAGGGTGATTACATTATCCCCTTATCT